AATGACCCGGTTAGGAGAGTAGATGTATTAAATTTGACTTATGTTAAGAAAGGTAGAGGCAAACCTAAAAAGACTTGGTTAGAAAATATTAGGAATGACCTTTCTTTATTAGATTTAAACGAGAATTTGACCTTGAATAGGACACAATGGGGAAAAAGGATTCATGTAGCCGACCCCACGTAGTGGGATAAAGACTTGTTGTTGTTGTTGTTGTTGTTGTTGTTGTTGTTGTTGTTGTAGTACCACTAGCAATGAACTCTTCCTAAATCTAAGTCCATAAAAAATATCAACTCAAGAAATCTACAAAACTCAAAATGCACAAATAATAATCAATCGCTTAAAGCTTGACCAACCGACCTGACCATCATTTGCACTAGTTTGCTGATACTGACAAATTTATCTTGACCAAAGATAATACCATAGCAAGTACAACGGCAAATTTACAAAAAAAATGTTAAAACGGGTCTCTATATGCATTTGTTACCATAAATTTCATAATTTTTTTAACTATTTATAACTGATTGCGATGGGGCAATGAATGTCTTTTAAATACTGGAAGTGCCTAAAGTTAATTGACAAAGATATGAATTGACTAAAATGACAAGTTATTAAAAGCCAATATAATTGCTTTTAAATATAAAATATGTTTTTTAACAAATGGTGATGATTGATTTATCAGTTTAACTAATTCTAATCAAAAATTAATAACCATGCATCACCTGAAAATCTATCTTATTAAACACAAATTATGACAGTTCTACTTCAAAACTAATGACAGATAATCTCTTTCACAATATGACTTTCCTCCTTTCCATAATGAAAATAAAAAATTCAAAAAAATGAAACTATTTCATACTCCACTGATAAGCCAAAAATTATAACTTCTATTGAACTGGAAAAAAATTTATTAATTAGAGTAGCAGTTTTAGCATGTGATATATCTAATACATGTTCACAATGTGGCAAGATGAGTCCACTAAATGTCCAAAGGTTTTAGTAAAATTACAAAAAATGAGACACGACACATGTCAAATCCTACACCTAAAGTGTCTGGTCATGTAATATGCCTAATACATGTTCACAATGTTGCAATAAGAGTCCATAAAATGTCCAAGCTTTTTTATAAAAATTAGTAGAATGAGGCATAATAAATGTCATATTTGCGCTTAAAGTGCTAGTTTCTGGTGTCCAAATGTTAGAGATGGCATCCACAACTAAATGGGCGTAGGAGTGTTGGTTCTTTATAACAACATAACATAATAAATTAAAGTTACCATTGAGAATGCACCTTTAAAATTAAACATTTAGTGATTTAAAACTAGGTAGAAATCTGAGGACAGTGATTCACATTTGATGTTTAAATTTAAGTTCTAAAATCAACTAGATATCTTAGCACTGAGAAACCACATAAGATGTTGAGGTCTTTTGAAAGAACAATTTAGCATTGACATTATTTTGAATTCCAAAAAATAATTCATTTGCTTCTCTTCTTCAGTTATCTAAACACCTTCAGTTCATTTGCATGGACCAGACAAAAACTTACACACAACAAAAGACTACAGTACTATATTTATATATAAACTTACTTAAAAAGAGAAATATTATTTCAACTTGAAACCGAATCATTTCTAGGCAACTCAAATCATCATGATTTCAATTTTGAGTCGAGTTCAATCCAAGCATTTATTTATTTTTAAGTTAGAATTGAGTCTATCATGCTCCAAATCAATTCAATAACACCCATATAAGGGTGCCAAGGCAAAATTTCCAGTGGCTGGCACAGCATTCATTTTTGTGGATAAACTGAATAAGATCACAAAATAATAGAAATGGTTCAAAAGAAATTAATTAATCTGCAGATTACTTGTAATCATCTTTACATTTCTGCTTAAAAATTTTAAAGCTTTGGATTAATCTAATAGGAAATCATTAGATTCATGTCAACATTTTTTTTAAGAATACCATTAAACATAAAACTTACCTAAAATAGAAATTTTGAGTATGTTGATCAGGTGTTTTGAAAGATCATTTTAGCATTAATATTTATTTAAAATCCAGTAAGTTAATGTCAAGGGCCTCAAGGTATTGAGCTAGCAAAGAATAAAACAGGTTAACGAACCTAGCATTAGCCCCGCTACAGTCAATGGTGGTTAACAGCTCAAAAAAAGCCTGGATCCAGAATTTTGGCCAAGATGATGACAAGTATTGATAAAAAACATAGACTAAATTTAACATCACAAAAAAAATAATTGATGAAAGTATAATGAACTTTAAAAAGAGTAAATGATCTCCTCATTACCTTCACAATATTTTGTAAGAATATTCAATATTTTGACGCCTTGGCCAGCCTATACAAGAAATATTATCAGAACGTGTGACATGAATAAATAAGGGTATGTAAAAGTATGACACCTTAACAAGCATTTATAACCTTCTAACATGTTCTACCAAAATAGCTGATTGCTTATTATCTAAAAGAAGGTGAACGTTCTTTTATAGGCTATAAATGACAATGATAGCTGATCAAGTTGTTCTACTCCTACATGCAAATGCAACAGGAACTAAGCTTAAGAATGTTTCTTTTGAAAATTCTTCAAAAATAACTACGTTTTAACATATACCAGCAGAACATATTAATATCAGATAGATTATGTGGGCAATAAAACAAACATATAGCATATGACTCTTTCCTTGAGTTCCAATGCATCAAAGAAAATTACCAAAAAAATAAGTTCTAATGCCATCCGCTAAAGGATGTCCTAGGGTAGTATTCTAGATCCACACAAAGTTGGCCAACATTGACTTGGTTGCATTTCACATACCATTTCTTTGAATTGCAAGAGGATTGCAGATTAAGGAAAACCTATGAGCATACACGGACACGGTGACACGGATACGACATGACACGGACACGAGACACGTTAATTATTGAAAATATATGACACAGAGGCATGTTGGACACGGTATTATTTTATATTTTAAAAATAGTGTAAACAAATAAAATAAGTATAATTTTAAAAATAATTTAGAAATAATAAGTCATTGAACTAGAATTTTCCAAAATCTGAGAAAATTTCCCAAGGAAGGAGCCAGAAAGATTTCGGCCAGCAGAAATCAGCTTTTGGAAATCTTTCCAAAGGAGTAAACTGCACTTATGGAGAGATTTCAAAAGCCATTTAATATGGAGAAGGGGCCGGCTATAATGGAATTGGAGGGGGGATTGTTTCCTTTTTTTTCCCAGTCAGGCTTTAGGAAAGGATTTAAATATTTGGCTTGAGTCCCGTGGACAGATTTTTAAGGAAATCAAATAAGGGGAGGCGGTAAGCTGGGAGGAATTAACAGGGAGAGGAGGTGACGTGATTGAGAGGAGCAGGTTCTTAGCTCCTGAATTCCATCTCTAGTATTAGGAAACAACTAATAGCCTAGGTATGAAGGAAAATTCGGCCAGGTGGGGATTACAGGAATTGAGATAGTTGCCAAAAGGATGGATTCAGTTATGTTTCAAAATTCAAAATGTTTTGAACTTGAAATGAGGGATTTGTGGAGGGAAAATTTTGAGTTAATGAGGGAGTTAATTAGGAGCATTAATTGGCTCTTAATTAGGCAAAGGAAGGAGGAAGAGGGGTTTGATTTCAAATAAGTGGGCCCCAATTACTTAAGTGAATTAATCCTTAAATATGAAATTAAATTTCAGATTTAAAGCTGCGATTAATTCCTTAATTAAATGGAGGAAATTGAGGGGGCATTTAACTCCTAATTCAAATTTGAATTTTGAATTGGAGAGTTAAAACCTTCCAAATGTGGATCAAACCCAATTAGGAAAAATTTCAAATTTGAAATCCAAAATTGTCATGGGTTTATGATTTCAATTGAGCACTTTCCAAAAATAGGTGAGCTAAATTAGGAAATAAATTTGAATTTCAAATTTTAAACAATTTGAATTTCAAATTAAGTCCTAATATCATGCACCCCAAATTTGGAAATCCAAGGAGAGAGGAGAAAGGATGAGGCCGGCGGCTAGGGAGCCAGGGCCGGCGGTTTATGGCGGATTTTTTGGTGAGGTGGTCGGCGGTTTATGGCGGAAATGGAGATGACGATGGTGGACGTAGGAAGAGGATGAAGTAAGAGGAATATGACTACGAGGAGCAATAAGAAGGAACAAAACAAAAACAAAAGATGGAAGGTAAAAAACGCAAGCCTTGGACTCTTCCGAAGACTGACGGGTGATGCTTTGCCCTTCTCCAAGGGACTTCAAATCACGAGCCCGGACCCATCCTGCGGCTGGTGAAGACTCTGATTCCTCCCATAGGAATCTCACTATCGTTCTTCCCAAAGAACCCAAGTGCAAAACACAAAATTTTTTTTATTAATAATCCCTCCTCTTTACAATGGCTTAAGGTCCTATATATAGGCCACAACATGAGAAAAATCAAAAATTACAAAATTGCCCCTTGGGCCACAACATTCAAATAAACTAACCTAGGGGTAAAATAGGAAATAACATAAAATAAGAGCTAAAATTCATAAAATAACACATAAATGACAATTTAAATTAGAGCCGTCGATTTACGACGCCTCCTATGATAGATGCGTCAAATCTTCGTGCCGATGTCCACATCAGTTTCTGTACTAAATACAAGTAAGGAATAAAAATGGGACCCTAACAAGGGCATGAAAACAATACTAGACGCTTTCTTTTACTAGCCCCCTTCACCAATCACCACTGCTTATGGATCTCAAGTTAAACTCATCAGAAGCTGGAACTTAGCTTAAACCCTGAGCTCTATCAAGATAAAGGCAATATAAAGTTCAAAAAGATTTCTCACTTTCACCTCTTCCCCATATTTACTTTCCTCCTCTCCTTACCCTAGTTCTAAAGATGCAACCAGCCAAAAAGGAATGTTTCTCACATTTCCCCCAAGCCAAAATATCTAGTTTTGTTTTCCATTTCAGTGTTCTTCAAATGTGCAAGCAAACTATCTGCAAGGGCCGATCCATAAAAATGTGCATTACCAAACAGTATGGCATCGAATAAGTCAAATGGCAATAATTTAATCTATTGCTTGAATCAGATCTCTTTGAAGTTTTAAAACATGCTTATTTTTTCTACAAGATGGAGAAACAGATACTAAGTGACATGAGAAGCCTTAACTAACCAGTAGAATAAGTAATGCCTTTTATGAAGACCCTGGTGGAAAGAAAAATAAGGACCAGATTTTTGTTGGGTTTACAATTTGATGGGGAGTCATATCAACCCTAACCCAACACACTAAAACCAAGGTTAGAAACTTTACCCCAAGTAAAAATAGTATAATGGAATTTAAATGGAAAGTAGGCAGCTGCGTTGTTGTACTTGGGTTTAGATCAACCTGAACAATGGTTCATTAAGGTAAATGAGAAGTCAAATCGCGTCCATGAGCAACATTGCTAACAATTTATAGCATAGGCAACAAACTGGCTGTTACACCAGGCATAAAAGTGAGCAACAAATTTCAGCCATATGCAAAACCAAGGGTTGGTATCATCTTATTTGTCATCAAACCTTTGATTCTGCAACATCACCATAGGCAGCATGTTCCTTTGCAACAGCCACCAACTGGGAATTAATATGAGATTTCAATCCTGGAAGAACTGTCTTGATATGTTGAACCAAAATCTGGAAAAAGAAAATCGAGCATTGGAATAAATAGTAAGAAAACAACAAATCTGATTATAGCGTGACAAAATATAAATTTCAGAAATGCAACAGCAAATCTATCAGAGAAAGCACTGAAAACTCTGATTTTGCAAGAGCTCAAGTTCAACCAGAACATACGAAGGAAATAACTGATAAGGCATATTAACCTTATTCAATTTCTTGGCTAACTGAGGGATCCCACAACAATGAGACAGGCCATGATATACCTGATCATCAAAGATGTTTAGCTTGGAATCTAAGGAATTGAAGATGTTTGAACTGGCTCCAAAGACAGTCATCTAATAAATAAAAAAATATCTCTCTAAACACGATTATTACATACAGGATGAAGGCGAAAAAACTTTTCTTCATTTGCCAGTGCATCTTTTATGCTTCGGCTAAAGTTGATATCCTGCATGATCAAACATGAAAATAAAAGAAATCAAAAAATAATCTAAAAAAGGCAAATGGATACAATGTACCCAGTACCAAATTTGAATATAACAACACTGAATCTTTGATTTGTTCGATCATGAGTGCATATCTGAAAAAATAGAATGTGCCAGAGAAACAAGCATGTTTTTTACTTGAGCAATATTGACCACAATGACCTTTCTTTGTTAATTATAAATTAAGAAAAGTTATATCTCAAGCATAACGATAATTTGATAAAATGTTTCCCATCAAATGGGACAATGCAAGATTTCAAAGGTGTTTCAGGTCAGTCTTCCTTAACCGTGACATCAATTGTTTTATCTAGGCATCATTTCAGCTGTCTAAGAACTACCCTAAGATCCATCTATTAAGTCAAGGCACGGAAATTAAAATCATAATTAAATGTGTACTTGAAATGAATTTGGTTAATACATAATGTGAATGATCGCATATGCGCTAAAAAGGATGAGTTCAAAAAACAATATTACCTTTGATGTTTATCACAACATTTTTTTCTTTTGGTTGAGATTTCACAGAAACATAATTAAAAAAGAACTCGATTATCAAATGCTGAATTTTAATAAAACAATGACTTTCTGACTAACAGAATATAAAAGAAAATTATTTCAAAGAACTTACCTGCTGACTACGATTAACAATGCCAACATAGCCAAGTCTGAGGGGGATGACATTTCCCAGTAAAAAGTTCTGTGCATCAGTTCCTTTGTCCATGATATCCAACTGTAAAACAATAAAAAAGAAAATTATATCTATGATAAAAGCTGATTTTTTGCAATAAATAATGCTCAGATTGGGATAGAACTCTTTAGGTAAAAAGACCTTTGTGATGACCCCAATTGTTCTAGAACCTGCAAGGAGAAAGTAAAAGAGCAATATTATCCTACAACTTTGCTGTCTTTTCAGAACAATTGGATTATTCTCAACAAGCAAAACAAATATATAGTATTATAATGAAATGTTACCATCAGGATCGACAATCCTAGCCATCTGAAGTGCATCAGAATTTGATAAGTCTGCATTTGCTGGAGAAACCGCCAATATAATGCAAGTATCATTCTTGATATATGATAAGATCATTGTTCTAATTCTAGCCTCAATGTCACTTGGTTGATCACCAACGGGCACCTTTGTTATGCCAGGTAAATCAACTAAAGTAATATTAAGAACATTTGGCGAAAAAATTTTCAAACGAATTTGCTTGTCTGAAACTCCCTGGTTTGCTCCTGCCTCACGATCAGTTTCAGCCTACAGATTGCAAACAAAATTTTGAACAAAATAAATATAACAATGAAAAGAAAGAAAAATAATTTAAAAACCAACGCAAGAGAAGCCCTGAAGACAATTACAGTCAATATGTAAAATAAATAAATAAATCTGAGATATATCAGAAAAAATTAGCATATATATAATCACAACCTGGAATCTCGCAGTATGGGACTAATTTAAACTTTCAAAATGATGAAAATTTGGGGAAAAAAATCATTAGGCTGATTACAAACCAATTGTCTAGCTTTGAACATAAAGTTTTAAAAGAAAATACAAATTGACACTAGTTATGGAAAAACCATTAAAAGTCAGCTATGTTGTAGTAGTAACTTGGCTCATCTTTTCAATGCCCCTTCTCTACCATACGCTGCTCTCAAGCACTTCCATTGGGACATGTAAGCAAATAAGCATGCATGGCCAAATTTTGTCATTTCATAAGCCCTAATTTGATGAAAACTAAATCGAAATGTCCCTAATTCTTGTGGAAAAAGAAGAAAACCCCAAGAAAGGAACTGTAGGAACCAAGCACCTGAATCTCCCGGCGTATCTCGGAGAAATTATAAAACCTATTTTCGGGCAGGTGCAGGAACTCCGCCCACTCCTCGCCCCCTTCCGCAGGCGCATCAGACCGGCGAAGGATATTCATGAGCTGCAGCACAAGCGGTCGCCGCGTGCAAATGTCCGAACCCCGCGGCAAGAAGTCGCGGCCGACCAATGCCTCCAAGACGCTCGACTTACCGCTGCTCTGGCTCCCGACGACAGCCACCTGCGGTAAATCGATCGTCGATGAGTTCCCCAACTGCGTAAAGATGTCCTGCAGCTTGTTAACAATCGGAATCACCGAACTCCCCACAGGACCAGGAGGAGCCATCGGCTGCGATTGCGAAGAACCTGAGAAGCTTACGGAGACCTCTTCATCTGCCATTTAAATCTTCGTACAGATCGAGTAGGGTTTTTGGCTTCAAAGATAAAAGGAAGCGGTCGTGAGCGAGTCCCTCCTATGCGATGCGGGGAACTTGCTCGTACGATGCGGATGTCCTCAGGACTTCATGAGGAACAATATTAATTACTTTCCAAAAAAACAATATAAATTAAATGCCTAAAATACCCCTACTAACTCAGAAATCTCATACGCAGGATGGAAGAAATTAGTAGAAAAACTGGAGGGTATAAATGGATTTAAGGATTAAGAGAATTGTTTCGCAAGTTATGGCAGAGGGATATTGGGCCAGCGGCAGGACGGCGACTGCGCGTACGTAACGGAAGTAGACGACGGTGGTCCCGCTGGGAGATCTCGCGGGCAGTTCGTTAGGGCATCTCCAACCGAAAATGTCATTTTTCACTCCAAAATGCACGGAAATCAAAAAATGCCGTGTTTCATCTCCAATCCAACGCCATTTTGCCGCTAAAATGATCGTTTTCGTTCGCGCCTTTCTTCCCAAGCTGTTCGGTAGAGAGAAAAAAATGCCGCAGATGAACAGTGCAACGCCAATATTGGCGTCGCACTGTTCATCCGCGATCAAATGGCGTCAAAAATGGAGATCGGTTGGAGCAAAGCAAGAACGGTTGGAGATGCCCTTACAAGCTCTAAGATCTGACTGCTAGGTGGGATCCGCAATTTTATTTAGTTGTATTAAATTAAATTTTAAAAAAAAAAATAAGCAGTTAAGATGGGACCCAAAGGAGGAAGAGTGTTTTTTATTATTTTTTTTTAAATGGTGGGAGGAGTTTTTCTCATTATCGTCTGTTCAAATTAGGGGACAATATCTTACATTAAGGAAAAATTATTAATATTACAAGTTACTCATCTTTTTTAAAAAATCAAAATGCAAAGGTTTACTATTGATAAGTCTTTCCTAATTTAGTTAAAATATTAAAAATAAATTGATTTTTTTAGGCTTTAGTTAGGGACAATTTTTTATCACTATTTCTTCTTCATTTTTAAAATTTTTATATTAAAAAATTATTTTAAAAAATAATAAGAAAAATATATAAAATGAAGCCTTACTAGTAAAGTCTAATAGTAATTTGAAGTATATATGATTTAATTAATTTAACATCAAATATGTTGAATTAAAAAAAGTTCATTGCGGGCACGGGCGGATCCCCCTTTACCTCAGGGTGGGCAAAAAAAATCAAATATATATATATATATATGTATATATATATTTATCTTAATTTGTGTAGATTGATTATCAATAGTAAAATTATGATTCAAAGACCATTGACATGATAATGCAATTTTTACTTTAAGATAAATCAATCTATGATGTAGAATGTAAATCACCATAACCAAGCAAGAAGATTATATTTCCACATAAAAATCCACAAATTCATAGTCATTAAATCATCAAAGTTCAACAAGGGAGTATAATGGGTCCAAAGGATAAATAGATGAAGACTAAGAAGTTTAAGAACATATATAAATAACTTTGGCCAGGCCTTCTTGGGTCCTTCATCCTGGGCTATTAAGCTTGAAATTACTTAGTTGAAAAGGTAATCAATAAAAACATAGTTGATAAATGCTCTATCAGCAATCATGATTTGCATCAACTAAAATTAGTCTTATGATCTCAAACCAAATGAAAATAAATTAAAATTCATAGAAAAATTATATAAAGTAGACATGAAAAAAAAAACACATTGAGCTTATAATCTCAAATAATAAAAAGAATTACAACCAAAAGAAAGTGAATAAAATAGCTAAGTTATGTATAACCAAAGTCACTTAATTGGACTTATTTTCCTATTTGGGCCAAGGTTACTGTAACTTAATGTATTAATATGACCCTTATGTGCATTAAAAATATAAGCCGATAGAAATATCTAACATAATGAATATGGTATAAAATGCAATGTTACATGTCCTTAAGTGAGGAAGACACTTCTAAAAATTCATAATTGACTATCTATGTTATGAAAATATATCAATTGCTTGGGCATTTTGATCATTGGCTAGCTCTATCTTGCATCTCATCCAAGATATATGAAAAGAGCAAATATCATTTAAAAAGTGGCTTGAGAGAGGGATTTAAATTTTAATTAAAATATTTTTAAATTAATTTTAATCTTATCTATTAATTTATTAAATTTTAGAAATAAAATTTCATCCTAAGAATCTACCAAAATCATTTATGACCAAGATAAGTTCATAGTAGTAATAAAAGCAAAGATAATATTTCAAGCTATTATAAAAAAAAACCTATAAAAGTAAAAAATAATGTTTTATGATGGTTGTAAGAGAATGAGGAATACGTTATTGTAGTTGAACAGTATGTACATACATACCTAAAGAAAATAAAAAAAGATAAATGAGCTTTAAATATACATGCTCAAAACATTTCTAATTCTACACCAAAATAAAACTGATAATAAGGTATAAACATTAGTAAACCCTTTGCTCATTGTCCTTATCAATTGGTTCAAAAGGGTGCATGTCCATTGTGTTACGAAAGATATTTCAAGATGAAAGTTTGCATTAACTTGGGAATCTTTCTTTAGACCTCGTTGTGTCTAGAAAATGTAACAAAACAAATTATCATATAATAGATATTCATTTATTTAGCATTTTAAATATTTAGCACACATATCTTAAAGTTTGTATGTTTGGCACATGTGAGGAGAATATTTTTTTCATACTCATATTGTAGAAAAGTAGCTAAATAATTAAACACATGTCAAAAGCCTCATAATTAACGTATATCTAAACCCAAAGAGTCATATATTATGAAACACAGAGACTTTTTAGCAAATTTATTATCTAATTACAACCTCTCTATACTAAGAAACTAAGGGGTTATGGAATATCATAATATCTAAATGTGTGCAAGAGTATCTATATAATAATTAAGCACATGTCAAAAGCCTCATAATTAACATATATCTAAACCCAAAGAGTCATATATTATGAAACACAGAGAATTTTTAGCAAATTTATTATCTAATTACAACCTCTCGATGCTAAGAAACTAAGGGGTTATGGATTATCATAATATCTAAATGTGTGCAAGAGTATCTATATTATTAGGGTCAACCCATATGACTATGGTAAGAAACAGGATTAGCTCATCTCAAGGGATTTAACTTAATTAATTATAAAAAGTTTAAAATAAATGGTTTTATTTTCAAAACAAAGACATTCAATATGGTATAAATATGTGATTAATTTTGAAACATTAATTAAAGTGGCATGCCCTAAGTTAATTATATTTTTAAATAATAACATAGAATTTGATATTAAAAAAAAGGATTATCATTAAAAGATGAACTATCGCCCCAATAATGATCAAACTATCATGACCACAGGGCATGCCTAAAATTAAGTGGGCTCGACCTACCTAGTCATATGTTGATCTATCCCATATATATATATATATATATATATTGGAAACAAATAGAAGACCGCGCCTTCAGCGGGGTTCGATGACATTAAATTTTAAGTTTTCATTTAAATCTTTTTTTTTGTTATTAAATAATTAATTTATTAATTTATTTTTTTATTATAATTTAAGTTATTAAATTCAATAATTTAATTTATTTTTTAAAATAAAAAATATTTTATTTAAATAATTTAATTTGAAAATAAGTTATTAAAATATAACTTAATTTTTTTAATTTCCGTCGGAAATTCGTAGGAAATTCCGCCAGAAATTCCATCGAAAAAACATCCGTCGGAAAGCCAGCCAAAAAATATGTCGGAAATTCGTAAAAAATTTTCCGTCGGAAATCCGCCGGTATTTGTGACGAATTTACTTCCACCGGAAATGAGCTGTTTTCCTTTAGTGCATGCATATTTACCTAAGATATAATATTGTGAGGCAATTGCTTAATGATGGGATAATAACCCAAAATTTTGTGAGGTAAGAGATGAACTTAGCATACCTCTAACCCACTTGGAAGGAAGCAAGTCATTGACACATAGAGGGGAATGAGACTTTCTCCTATAAACAAAAGTTGATATTGATGGTAACACAACCTAGTTGTATGGAGATCCCTTATAATAGGTTTATATAGGAAGAACAAGTCATTAGTCAACTTGGTATATTATTGCAAAATAAATATTATGGTTCATTCCAAAAATATTGAATAATGCGATTTACAGTGATAAAGAGGTTGAGTTTTTACTATTAATAAATTTATAATTCTTTTAAATTATTGTTCTTGTTGTGAGTCAAAACAAATAAATTCACTTATATGAGAGTAAAAGTTGACCGTATTTTATGAGAAAATAAGTCATTTCTTATTGAAAGATTTGAACATGAAATTAATGATAAATGTATCTAGATTTTTGTAGTTAGATACGTATTTGAACATCATTTTGATCCTTCGAGGTCATATGGAGTTCACTACAACTATCTGACTACAATAATTGAAGATAAATCATGTTAATTACCACATTCAAGTATTCAATTGGATGTCATTTTGATTTTCCAGAATCTCATGTAATTTTTTTCTTAAATTTGATTGTGGTGGTTAGGACAAGAACTTATAGTTTTGTAATTTGAACCCATTAAAGAATGATATTTTCATCTTTCAAGATAATATATCATTCATAATGGTGTGTTCGACTTCAAAACTAAAATTCTAAAAATCAAAATTTTTCAAAGAAAATATAATTACAATTGCTTTATACTTTTCAACAAAGCATGCAGATAATTACCCCCAATTAGAGCAACTAGATTTGAAGAATTTATATCTTTTGCAACTTTTAATCTTTTGAGATTTTGATATATTTGTTCTTTTTGAGGATTTTAGTCTTCTAAGATCTTTTGTGTGCATGTGCCTTTTGAGACTTTTAGCCTTCTAATGTATCTTGTGTACTTGTGCCTTTTGAGGCTTTAAGCCTTCTAAGGTCTTTGAATAAGCGAGACCCTGCCAATCACTTGCTCTTATGGAGTTTTTCTAGTGAGGACCTTATCCACTACTAGCTTTCCTTCGAGGCTACCTCATGGGTGTGTCTGCCTAGGGTTATGAGTGAAGACCCTATTTTCCACCTGCCCTCATGTGGTATTTCTAATGAGGATCATGTCCAGTACTAGCTTACCTTCGAGGCTACCTCATGTGTGAGCCTTCCTGGGTTATTATCATATACAATATTATTTATAAAAGATTCATTAATAAAACCTTCTTGAAAGATAAAAAATTTGAGAAGTTTAAAGAGTTTGAATTCTTTGAGTAATTTTCAACATATGGATATTCTTAATCAAAAACACCAACAATTTCTTTACCACGACTCTTCTGATCTCCTCTATTTTTTAGCTGATAACTTGCAAGTGGCTTGTATAAATAATTATCTAAATATCCTTAGCAAATCAGACATTTAATCTCATCCTTCAATTGAAAGCATTTTTTCAGTTGAGTGTCCCTTTGATTGATGAAAGTTATAGTAATGAGACTGATATCCTCCCATTAGATTTCCTAAGGGCTTTGGCCCCTTGAGATGTTCATAATTTTGAATCTCCATCAGAATGTTAGCTCTTGATGTATTTAAAGGAGTGTAATTAGGTGATATTGGATGAATTTGATAAGACTCACTTTTTAACTTATCATGCCTTCTTTGTTACGTAGGTTGATCAGTTTGTTGTGAATTTTTTCATTTGAAGGATGATTGCATGAATTGCTTTCAATGAGCAATGATGGCCTTATCTGCCAAGATCTATGCCTCCACATGATGAATTAGGTTAGCATATGAGTGAACTATATCTTATATAAGTGTCAATTAAAAGGGGTCAGGATAAAGCCCTCTAAGAAAAACTACTCTTAACAACTCAAAATCTACACCTTGAATTTGTTAATCCTTGATGGACAGTATTTAAAAGTACTCCTTAAGTGACTCTCCTTTATTTTGGCGAATCCCATAGAGGTGTGAAGAATCTTTAATAAATCTTTGATTTGTAATAAATTACTAGACAAACACTTTAACCAACTTAATGAACTTGAGAATGGTTCCGACTAGAAGTGAATAGAACCATGTTCGAGCTTCCCTTTAAGGGTAGCATGAAACTTGGTAGAAGAATTCATCTGAGGCTCATTGGATACACATAATGGTTATGTAATGATCGATATGCTCTAGGGGACATCCCGTTATAAGAATTAATGCTCGATAATTTGAAGCATGTCATAATGTGGTGTTAAAGAATGGCTTCAATTAGGGGATATGACTTTTAAAAGTTCCATTTATGAAGATGTTGCTTTCCATTTCTCATAGGGAACTCTTCTCAGACTAATCATCACAGTTCATAACGTAAGGTGTTGCGTGGGAGGTTAGCAACAGAAGGTTGGGCCAAATTCTTAGTGATAATTAGAGGAATACATGTTGGCTGACCTGTATGAGATGGATGGGTAGAGCTAGTCGTGTAAACAAGGTTTATGTCTTACTGTGATACAGATCAACCCCCTGACTTGGGGAGAGGGATATCAACTTAAAGATGTTCAAGTCGATCATCCTCTGCTAGTAGCATATCCCGAGGGAGACGAATCTCCTCTTTGTTATGCTAATGTTGGTTGTTATATTCCTTGTAGAAGTTGAAGGATCTCACTCTAAGATTACTCCATTTTTGGATGCGATCTTCTAGGGATGGTCATGATGTTTCTTCTCCTGTAAAGTTTTGCCCACTGGGGAAAAGAGAGGCTAATGCCTGTCATCCCTGGTTCATACACTGATTCTTGGATTGATGTGTGTTGGAGCAGGATGCTCTCATGTTACGATTGCTGCACCTGTTAAGCATTATAGAGTGCTTAGGATAGTGGGATTGATGTTTCCCACAAATTGTGTCAAACTATTGTGGGCTAGAATATACATGATAGTAGAGTGAAGAAATTTTTTTCTTCGTATTGCACATATATTCATCACATAAATAGAGAAGAGTAAACACTAGAATTTTTATGTAGAAACCCCTAAAAAGAAAAAAACCATGGAGCTACGCTCAGTTGAAATAATTTCACAATTATTTAAATAGGTAACAAAAATTGTCCTATCTCAAAATTTCGAGGATGGTGAAATTACAATACCCCTCCAAAATAATATAACTATTGTGGGTTATAATATACATAACAGTATAATGAGAGAATTTTTTATCTTATTGCATGAATTTTTTGCACACAAACAGAGAAGATTAAACATCGAGATTTTACATGGAAAATTCAAGAAAATGGAAAAACCACAGAGCCACACCTAGATGAAATGATTTCACTATTGTTTGAATAAGTTACAAAAATTGGCTGATCTCGGAACTCAAGAACAATGAAAATATAATAGTTTGAAAAGTTGGGCGGAAGTCTAATGTCATTCGATGATCCAGCAAAAGTTTAACGACTTTCGATGGTCGGGCGAAAGCCCACCGGTGTTCTGTGGTCGGTCATGAGACTGGCGATGGCTGACGATCAGGCATAAGTCTGGTTGTGGTACGACGATGGTTGGTGAGCGGGAAAAAGTCCTGCGGTGGTCTGACGACAGCTAGTGGTCGGGCAGAAGTTCGATGGTTGGTGACCAGGATGAAGTCTGGCAGTGGTCCTATGATGGATGGTGGTTGGGCATAAGTCTGGTGGTGGTCCTACGATAGCTGGTGGTTTTGTAGAAGTTTGGTGGTTGGGCGGAAGTTCGGTGATAGCCAGTGGTCGAACAGAAGTACAACGATGGCCCGAAGATGGCTAGTGGCAGGGCAAAAAATCGATGATGGCGATGGTCGGGAGATTAAAGTCTAACGATGGTCTGATGCTTATCGATGGTTCAACGGTGGTCCGACTATGATCGAGGAGGAGCTTGGTGGCAAGAGAGATCTCAGATTTATCTTACTTCTTCCTCTTCTGCCTTTTTTTTCTTCCTCCCTTCATGAAAATGTGGGGTTTATTTATAATTTTTTTTAGTGGCATGGATAGTAAATAGTCATAAGATCAAGGGTAAGTTAGGAGTGTTTCAGGTGGATGCCCGATATTGATTTCCTTGATCATAGATTGTTTATTGTGCATTTGAGTGTCATAATGATGTCAAAATTCAACAATCTCAGGCTCGTTGGATTCATCTTGTCAAGCCACTCGATTGGATTATAAGTGTGTCATATTTGAAAATCATTTGTTTGCCCAACTTATGCTTTGAAGCTTTTAAATGTGCTTCAGACCGTCAGTTTGGACTCATTTGAGATCAGATTAGATCAAATTTGGTGTCATTGGATTCGTCTTTTTTAGATGTTTAATTTGACTATAAGTTTGCTAAAATTGGAGTTTGGATGGTCCCAAAATTAATTTTGAATATTTTTTATTCAACTTTGCCTCGAGATTCATGCCCGATCAAGATAATTTTTTGATGATGTATCAATAACATAAAATTTTGTTCAATACCTTTTATATAAAATAATTTAATTTACTTCTCTTCTTATTTATTAACTTTTATTCATTAATTAAGATATTCCAAAAGGAGAAATAAGTATAATTTTATAAAAAAATGTAATAGATAAATATAATATTAATCATATATAAAAAATATAGCTAATTTTATTTTATTTTTTGGGGATTTACCTACATAAAACTTAAAACTCACATATTTACATATTTACCCACACCTAAAAACTTTTATTTCCTCACATCCCGCACACAACTCCGTCTCCATGTTCTATGTGCAATCCAACTCCCATTCGCTCGCAGGTTCGTCTCCTTCGCCCTATTCTCCATCAATTTCCTGCATTAGAAAGCCCTCTGATGGTTGTGAGCGCCCTCCTACTCCTTCGTTGTTTGATTATTATTGTGAGTTTTGAGTGATGCCCTTTTTTTTCTTTTTTTTTGTAGGGCTTCTTATTACCCGTGTTCGGCTCAGTGCATCAGTACCAAAGGTCGCTGCTCTCCTAATGCCGCTCTTACCCACGGCTTCCTTCTTCCGCTATCGCCTCATCCTCCCTGTTCTCCCCTTATACTCCTCCGCCCTCCTCCGCCGCCGAGTAGCCACTACCATCTCCTTTTCTGCCGGTCGCCGCCTTTCCCCCAACAAAAACCTTCTCAACGCTAAAAACGCAGTCAAGGACCTCCCGTCCCTCTCCCGCTTCCTCTCCCCGGACGAAACACCAACTCTCCTTCCCGACCAGACCACCGGTTTTGTTGCTGCCGCCCAGGCCAATTTTATGCGCGTCATCGTCGATTCCATTGGCGACTCTGAGTCCGGCGGGAAGGTGGGGACGCAGTTGCTCTGCGTTGTGAGAGCTTTGCTGAAGAAAATTAGGAGAAAGGTATTGGTTGGAGACAGGGTTTTGGTTGGTTGGGTGGATTGGGTGGATCGAAGGGGGATGATTGAGGATGTATTTGAAAGGAAAACGGAGGTGATTGATCCTCCGGTTGCGAATGTGGACCATTTCCTGGTTCTGTTTTCAGTGGAGCAGCCAAAGTTGGAGCCTTTTACTTTAACTCGGTTCTTGGTTGAGGCTGAATCCACCGGGATTCCGCTCACTCTTGTTTTGAACAAGTGCGAGCTTGCTAATGAGGAGGTACGCGAAGCTAACATCATATTCGATCTTTTGTGATTATTCTTGTTGCGAGCTGGAAGAAATTAGCATGAACTATGAGTATGCCAGGGCTATGTGCTTCTTATATTTAGAATCAAAGACCCAGACACAATTAAGTAGACAAGATTTTTTGTATGAAAAACTCGGAGGAGAAATAAGTGTCCGGGTCAGTTGATGAATAAACTTGCAATATAAATAAAATTGAATTTAGAAGTTTATTCTCAGAATTGTTGGATGGTCATCGGCAATGCTGTCGATGCTAGGTCTAAAGTTGTAGATGAGAAAAGTGGAGGATTGCGTTAGGTAGTCAATAGCCAGCGTAAAACATGTCGAATAATCATGACATGAATCCTTTCATTTTGGATTCATGTCAGGTAGGTCTACTATGTAAGTCATACATTTATTGAGAGGTTTGATAGAGAAATATAGAGAAAATAAGGAGAATCTACATATGATATTTATTGATTTAGAGAAAGCATATGATAAAGTTCCAAGAGAACTGCTATGGAGAGTTCTTGAAATGAAAGGAGTTAATAATGCTTATATTCAAATCATTAAAGATATGTATGCAGGAGCTAGTACTTGTGTTCAAACACAAGGTGGTTTGACCAAGTATTTTCCTATTTCGGTTGGATTACATCTAAGATCAGCCTTACGTCCATATCTTTTTGCTTTAGTCATGGATGTTCTCACTAGACATTTGTAAGATGATGTACCTTGGTGTATGCTTTTTGCTGATGATATTCTTCTTATTGATAAGACTAGAGAGGGAGTTGAATGATGGAGGTCAACCTTAAAGTCTAAAGGTTTTCACATGAGTAGATTTAAAACTGAATATATGGAGTGTAATTTTAGTAGTAATTGACCTAGTGAGGGGATTGTGACTTTGGGCAATCAAGTCATTAATAAGAGTATACATTTTAGATATCTTGGTTATGTTGTTCAAAGTGATGGTAAAATAGATCGGGATATTATCAGCATAATTCAAGTTAGATGATTGAAGTGGAGGAATGCATCGGGCTTGTTGTGCGATAGAAAAGTCCTCAAACTTGAGGGAAAATTCTATAAGGTTGTGGTGAGACCTGCAATGCTTTATGGTGTCAAATGTTGGCCTTTAAAAGAAAAGCATAATACTAAGTTAAGTGTTGCAGAGATGATGATGCTTAGGTGGATGAATGGTTTTACCCTTAGAGATAGGATACGAAATGAGCATATATGAGATAAGGTTGGAGTAACTCCAGTGGAAGATAATATTAGAGAGAGTTGCCTTAGATGGTTTTGTCACATTAAATGGAGGCCTTCCGATGACCTGGTTAGGAAAGTTGAGATATTAGATTTAACTTATGTTAAGAAATGTAGAGATAGACCTAAAAAGACTTGGTTAGAAAATATTAGAAATTATCTTTCTTTATTAGATTTAAAAGAGAATTTGACTCTTAACATGACACAAGGGCGAAAAAGGATTCATGTAGCCGACCCCACGTAGTGGGACAAATGCTTGATGATGATGTTGTTGTTGGATGGTCATCGGCGCTATATTGCCTCAATTTTGTTTTGGTTCACATTGGCGATGGCAGTCGGTTATGGCATCTCTAGGTGTCAGCAACAAGAAAAATTATTCTTGCAGAGTCTGGACATAGAGTTACGTCCGAACTCCATTAAAAATGTGACATGTGTCCTTACAAATTGTGTATACAATGTGTACAAATTGTGTACATAGTGTGTACACAATATATATAAGCTTGTACACACTGTGTACACAATCGTATAATTTGTACACAGTGTGTATAAACTTGTACACTGTGTACTAGATCATATGTCACATTTTTATTGGAGTCCGGGCATAACTTTACGTCCGAACTCTGCATGTAATAATTTCTCTAGCAACAAGGAGCAACAACTTATTGCTCAAATGGCACAACATTAATGAACAACAACATTGCTGGTTCTAAAATTGTTTGTGGGTAAGTTAGACTCTTACTATACGTGAAAAGTAGCTATAAAAGCTGCTCTTTTACTCGAACTACCAACAAGTCGCCAAGTGTGTAAATGAATATTTATTATTGCTATGTATATTCAGCTAGTTGTTTGCACAAATATTTTTCTCTTTTTCATTTAGTTTTTTGAATTTCAGGGGAGATTCCTCAGTTGTTAGAATTAGGTCAAATTGATGCCAAGTTGAGCAAATTTCTAAGGATATGCCTGAGAATACTTTTGAATTGTTGCCAACTTTATTCATCCTCTCAGGAAGTTTAAGCTAAGTTATAAGAATGAGTAGGATGAGTTGTCAATTTATTGGGAGAAAAAGGACGAGTTATAGCAAATGTAGGTCTGGATCCCTTCCTAACCAAAAATAAACTACACTTGACAACCTTTGATTTCATCCCTTCCATTTTCTCTTTAAAGGAGGTGGTGTACGACCAATCTATTAGTATGGACCATTGTGGGATGTCTTCAAGATGAAGATCTTTTTGGTGGTTGCTATCCAAGAAAGGTGGAGCTGATCCAACTTCACACCGAGGAACCTAAATGGCATTATCTTTTAGATGAAGGTCTTTGTCAGGGTTGCTTTCTAGGAGTGGTGGAACTAATCTGGCTTAACACCTATGAATCTCAATAAGGTTATTTTCCAAGAGGAATATGGAGGTTTTTCTCTCAAGAGAGGTGGAACCGATCCAACTTGACATCTAGGATAAACTAAGAGGAACGTCTTTGAAAAGGTTTCTCCCCCAAGAGATGTGGAATTGATCCAACCTAACTACTAGAAATTCTTATAGGTTGCCTTTTGAGAGGAAGGTATATGAAGAGACTCTAGTAGAGGTTGAAATAATCCAACCTAATACCTAGAAGTTTCAATAGGGTTGCCTTCCAAGCGGAAGGCAGTTTAGCCTCCACAATTGTTGAGTGAATTTTCTTCAGTGGAGTGACATCATGTCTTCAACCTCATTTATGCTTGAGTATCCTCCTAGGGCATAATCACTGACAAAATCTCCCTAGGGAGTTTGAGTAGGCTAAGGCCTAGTCATTAAAATGTGTGCCCCTTAAGATTTTCTCTGTAGAAACCCTCTTGGGGATATGTGGACTCTCTCACTATATTATTTGATTTTAAATTTGATGTTTAATCTACAAGGTATGGCGGAGAGTGTGTACGTTATATCATCAAAAATTATGTAATCTTGGATCAAATAGGTCTTGCCCCTAAACAGGTTGATTGGCTATCTAAAATATGCCAGCTCAGGTGGCCAATGGTTAGGGGTGTAATGAGTTGAGCTTGAGCAAGATGAATGCTTGTTCATGTTCAGCTTGTTGAAATTAATATTTGTTCATGCTTGACTCTTTTTTTAAACTATTCATAAATATCTTGTTCATATTTTATTTTTTTTAATGTAATTGAGCTCATGTTCGGCTCAAATTGATTTAATAATAAATTTTATAAGTTTTTATGTAAAAAACATTGTAATCTTGTTTAATTTTTTTACAAACTCATTAAATTTTTTTAGATGAGCAAAATAACTCCACGTTACTAACCAAAATCCCACGTGTACAAATGCTCATCCACTTAAAGTAGCAAGGCTAGGCAAGAAGGTTTGTTCTTTTATTGTTTATAAAGGGTTTAACTCTAAATCTCCAAGGATGTGAGACTAAATGAATAAAGCTTTCTCAAAGGCAAGTGGCGATGCTTAAGATTTTATATAGGCCGCATGGGTATTCTCTTATATGGGCCACATTGATGAGATTTTTTGCTGCGCAGTGCGCACCTAATACTTATATGTCTGAATGATGTTATAGCCAAAGCAAACAATATATGAGAGAGAGAGAGAGAACTGAACACAATTGAATAAAGGTTTGTTCGTGTTCAGCAGTACAGGTTGTTTACAAATCGAGTTCAAATAGTATGTTTGGGTTTAACTTGTTTACTTAAGGAATGAATCAAATAGGAGCTCTGTAATGACCTGTTTGTGAACAAAGAGTTTATTTGATAGCCATATTAGTGATGATATTATCTCTAATTTTTTATTTAAAAGCATTAGGTTGTTACTAGAGACTTCATGATCGCAATGGTCGTAGTATATTGGAATTTTGTGTGGTGGATCAATGTGAAAAAAAAATGAAGATGTTGTAATTGGAATATGTTAGAGAGAAGAAGGTTAGGAAACTATTTTCCTTGATAAGAATATTTATTGAAAAATGACTAACGACAAGGTGCAGTGGGTAGGTATGGCAATTTGGAGAAGTTTTGAACTTTAAAACGTACCACGATAAAAAAAAAAACGCTATTCGGTGGCTGTTAGCTTGCTACTACGATGACCGGTATCATGTGGAAGGGCAAGAGGAGGGGAGGGGCTGACTACCCAATATGGTCAGTCTGTTATGAGCTTGATTAGGCTTAGTCGAGCCAATTATGGGCTTTTAAACCAGGTTCAACCTTTAAAAGCTTCATCGAGTCAGTTTCAGCTTTCAATGTTTGCTTGCTATTGATAAAAAAAATGCATGCTCATTAGAGTATCAATTTAGTCAAATTAAGTTAAATTGGGCTTTGGTTCAGTCTTTTTGAGCTGGATTTGTGCTTCATTTAAAAAATTTTGCTTGATTTGATTGGGATGTGTATGTTCCCAGGAGTTTTAATTGGTTGCTACTGCTTTCGCTAAGTGATAGCCTTTACTATTCCTCATTGGCCTCCGTTTTTTTCTGTCAGTTTATTACCCCAGCAATCATATGTGTGGCTAAGTCATTATAATGGGCTACAATCAGTTGCCTAGTTCCAGTTTCTTTAATTTAAACTATCCAACAAATCTCATTTAAACCTTATTTACTTATTGCAATTCCTTACAATTTGTGGCTTAATACAGTTTTATGGCGGTTTCTTGTATATTTCTTCTGCTTGATTTGCTAACCGGATACTAGCATGTTTTTGATAGGAAATACTTGAGTTCGCAAGTAACCCTAAGGGAAATACTTGAGTTCGCAAGCAAACCTATCACCAATTGGTGAAAACAGCGAGAATAATTCAAATTCTGGGCGAAATCAGCCCCAAAACGTTGGATTGCAATAAGAGAATCAAAGTCAAACAAATACTAGAACAAGATACAAGTGATCCTCAATTCGATAGGAGGATCGTTCTCTCCCAAATCTCTGGACAAAACAATCTAGAGCCAATATACCCAAAAACTGCAAGAGAAACTCAAATCATGCATACAAACTAACCCTAAAACAAACCCTCATACTAATACAATTAATTTCCTACTTCAATCATCTCTCATTCAAAATTTTCCTCTCAAACTAGCCTCCCAAAACTCCCTCTCCCCATTTCTCCAAGTGGGCGGCAGCATTAAAGGAGGCGGGTCCCCCTTTCCGCCTCCTATATACATGAGCCGGCTCCTGGGCCAGTTCAGGGTGAACCGGCCTATCAATTTTCTTATCTGTCATCTTACTATGTTCGAATTATGCATCTTATACTTCAGGCCTGCTGATAATGTTTTTGCAAATTTTACAAATACCTGTATTTCTGAAACTTCTTTTTTGTTGAAAAAACCTGTCAATTGCTTTTCATTTGTTTGGCTTTAGATTTTAAATTGGTAAGTTCTAATGCAGACATTATCGGCATGGAACAATAGGCTTCGCACATGGGGCTACGATCCATTGTTTTGCAGCGTAGAAAGCAAATCTGGA